TGTCAACTGACAGGTCAATTGAATGTATATTTTTTGACTGGTCAAACTTTATAACAATTTTACAAAAAACTACATTTTTGTAGTTTTCTTGACACAAATATGATTTCTTGTTGTTTTTGGACATTTCTTAATGAAAAAAAATCTATGCTTTTTCTGTGCATTATTTGGACATACTGGCAATTTACAATTTTTTACCAATATTTGACCGATTAATTCACCAAAATTTATTTGACTGGTCAAATAACCAACCCTAGTTCCACATGAAAAATAAGGGTAGATTCTAACTAAGACTATATTCAGTTACATATTTTTCAGAAATATTTTGATTTTAAAATCATTTTAATGCTTCTTAAGTGTGAAATTCATATTTAATTTTGCAACAAATTTATCTCCACAACTCCACCTAGAATTTCTAATTTGACAAAAGAGGCAGAAGTGGAACGACAGAACAGCAGCTTTCTCCTGAAGTTTAACAGGCATTTTACTTCTAGCAGAGTCTTAAACGCACCTCACTTTGCATCTTTCCAGGCCCACACAGTGGTAAACATTCAGTGTGTGGGCTCTTTACATCATCACTTTTATGGAGCACCAGAAACTTCTGCACTTATTTACAATTATCTGTAATTGCCAAGATTCATGTTAATGCAATTAAATTTAAAAGCATCTGGGTAATGGATAACATTGTAGATCTAAACAACTTAACAATATACTTGGTAATTGCATATTTTAATCAGGTTATTATTACGGAACCTTTTGGTTCTTTAGCCATAGATTTTTTTTTTCCTTCTCAAAGTAGTAGCTTGTATTTTGAAATCCATCTCGGATCCATAAAATTATGCCCAAAGAGCAGGTGCAGCTGATGCTCCCATGTTCTTGACACAGGAAATGGGGCAGAGAAATATTTAATTTTACTATACGCTACTGCTTGTGAAAAGGGCCTTAGGTAATTGAAGATGGGCAACACCTACCTATTGGGAGGGGGCTGGGGCAGACATCACCTGCCCAATTATTTGCAATCTACCAAACACCCTGTAGGTAAGCTTTATATATCTGGATCTATTGGGACAGAAGCTGTATTGTCTACATGAGTGGGTTGGTGGTTGAATTGCTCTATTCATCATTAAGCAGAACATTCTAAACAGCATGCAATTCTGAACAACCAGCACCTTTCAGCTTCTCTTCATTAATTTTAGACTAATCACAGCATGCTTTTGAAGTACCTTGCCAAGGTAAATTATAGCAACTGGTTCATAAACTAAGAGTAGAAAACCATTAAACCACCCAGTCTGACCATCTCTTCATCATAGGCCGTTACATTTCAACCAGTTACTCCTGCATAGAAACCAAAAAATTGTATCTGACTAAACAATATTTTTCAAAATTGTATCCAGCCTCGAGGTGACAATTCCAAGATAAGAAGATCCACTGCTTCCCACTATAGTGTATTTCAATGGTTGATCAATCTCATTGTAAACATGGATACCTAACATTTAATTTGAAGTTGTATGGCTTTAACATTGATTCCTGTCCTACCTTTCTCTACTTGATCAACAGTCCTTTTTCCCTTATTTTCTCTTATGAAGATACTTATATATCATAATCAAGACTCCTCTTGGTTCAGACTGAGGTATTTTTGTAAGACATTCTTCCAGTCTTCACAATTTTGCAGGGCATAAAGGGAGCTTTCTCAGCACCTTTGCCAACTTTCCATCACTCTTAAAATGTAAAAAGTCAGAAAAGGATGCAGTATTTCAGGTTCACCAATGCCATTTACAGAAGTAAAAAATCTACTTTACTCCTACTCATTTCTCCTTTGGTAATGCATTCAAAGAATAAATTGGCTCTCTTCTGCTATAGCACTACATTAGGAAGTCATGATGAATTTTCCATTTGCTCCATCCCCTAGATCTGTCAGTATCCCTGTTTTAAAGAATATCCCCACGCTGCAGATCTGGCCCACGCTTATTATTTTCAGAGGCATGACCCTGCATTTGGCTGCATTAAAATACATTTGTGTGTGAGCCCCCAAGGAATATAGATTCCTTTCTATAACTGCCTTGTCCTCATCACTATGTATCACTATATGGCATATGCATATTTTATCAACAATAATTTTGTACTTATTTCCAGATAATTGAAAAAAAGTGTCAAAACACTTGGCCCCAGAAACAATGAATACAATACCCACATTCAAGAGGTTGGACAGCTCTCAGTTCATTTAATGTGTGCTCCACTGATACTGTATGGTGCTTTGTACAATTATGTTATGGGATACAAGTAAGTTAAAATTCCTTACAAATATCTAAATTTATTGCATCTATGAAATTACTTTTACCAAATTAGTTTATAATCTCACAAAAAAGGTTTGTTTGACAAGATCTAGTTTCCATAAAACTATGCTATGTTGACTGACATACTTCTTTATTGACTGAATCCCATTATCACCTCTTCCGTTAAGTTTCACCCAGGACTGATATCAGGCTAACCAACTTTTAACTACTCAGACCCTCTCAGTTGACCCCTTGGAAATTTGACAGACCATAGTATTTTCTTAGTCTTCTAAAATTTCTCCCATAATTCAAAAGAGATTAAAAATGTACATCAGGAGATCAGGGACTTTTGCAGTCAATCCTGTAAGTCTTTCGGGTTTAAGTTATTGCGGACTGCAAATTTAAAAATGTTCACCCAAGGCAGATGTTATTTAATGTATTTCTAATAAATAATGTGTTTGAAAGCAGTTCACCATTCTTACATACAGAAATGAATCACCTTGTATTCCAAATATGGGACAAAAATATTTGTTAAACACTTCCACCTTTTCAGGATGAGGACAGACTTGGACTATCTCTTATATAGAACCAGAACATCCACATACAACTGAGACAACTTTTATTTCACAAGTAGTAATTTGACTAGTTACTGAATATTCTCTATGTCTAAAACAGGTCACAAAATAGTCATAATTCATTTTTCAAAATCAGTTTCTTATGCAGCCACTAAACACTTACTCAGTTTTCTGATATTGCTATTATTCAGTCATTTGTTTTGTTAGTCTCTACACAAGTCAGTTAATGTGCTTGCTTGTTTTTAAGGTGAAAAAACTTATTTGATATGATCAGTGTATTGACTTTTTCCATCTAGCTTTTTTCTATCAAAGAATATGAAGCCAGAATTATATCTGCATGGTATCTTAAGTGGACATAATTTTCTGTACATCTAATAGTAGTTTGTGGTTTTGTTTCCTTCTGCTATCACAGATTTTATCCCAAGAAGCTGAATGCTTCGACATTATTTCTCTGGATCTTTGAAGTTACTTAATTCTTGCAGCAAAATAATATTTGCAATAAACACTAAACCCAGCTGCCTGATTTGGTTTGGGCACTTTTGTTTTAAATCCACTTTTCAGGTTTTGATGCATATTTTAGAGAATTGAAGGCAGTGTAGTCTAGTGGATTAAACACAGGTCTGAGAGTTAGGGAATCTTTTAATATTCATTTCCATTGCTTGCACTATCTGCATGCAGCCTAAGTTACTCGAAATACAGAATAAGGTACAGAGATAATTATTTACCTAGCTCATTGGTGTGTTGTAGAGTTTCATGTCTGTAAAAGACTGATATTAGAAGACACTGTATAACTGCTCAGGTATTATTTTGAGTATTGTGAGATTATTGTATATTATTGTGAGGTTACCTGGATATTAGTGTTTGCTTTCTAACACTGAGCAAGTCATTCAGGCTAGACACAGAAGTTATACATAAGCCAGTATAAGTAATGAGAAACCAGTTTAAACCCATAATTGACCAGAAATATAATGCACATAAACCAGTTTCAAAATGGCCAAACCCAGTTTAAGATAAACCTGGACAGATGTAGTATCAGACTTAACTGATTTTGGTTAAACCAGTTCATGGAACTTCTGTCCTAGATGCACTCCTGACTCAAGTTATGTCCCAGTCCCCCAGCAACCTAGGAGACATTGGGACCTCTGGTCAACTCCCCTCACAGGGCAGGTGGCCTAGCTTCAGCTCTGCTGTCTGCTTCAGCTGAGCCTGGCCAGCCCCACCCCACAGCTGTCACAGAGTTAAAGCAGCAATGCCTTTGCTCCCCAGCCTGGCCCTGCCTTCACCTATCAGCTCTGCAGGGCAGGGGAGAGGGGGACACGGGTGAATAAACCCCAAAACCCAGCTCCAATCTGTGAGGGTTGCCCCCCCCCCACCTCCTGATAGGCTGGCATGAGTCACTGACCAGCTGGGGGTGGGAAGGGGGAAAGGACTTCCCTCTCCTGGCCAGACCGAGCCCAGCACCACCTCTGGGGGTTCACCTATCCAGCTCAGAATCCTCCCAGCTCTGATATTCCCCGCTGTGGGGGGCATTTCCCTCCCCCCAAGAGCCAGGAGTCACTGATGTGCAGCAGGTAGGGGGGACTGAAACCGTCCCCCATGCCAGTACAAGCCAGGTGCCTGGGACAGAAGCAATCTGCAGAGGGCAGGATCGGGCCATGCCACCTGGCACAAGCTCCCTGAGCCATCCAGCATGACTTGACAGCTGCCAGGCTCTAATGGGACACACTGGGCAGCCCGAGGGGCTCGTGCTACGTGGCAGGGGGGGGATTTCTCCACAGAGGCAAAGATCAGACCCTGCCACTCAGTGCAAGCCCCCCTGAGCCACCTGGCATGCCCCATCAGAGCCCAGCAGCAACTGGCAACATGAGCTAGGCAGCACCAGGGGCTTGTGCCAGACAGTGGCGTCCTATCCTTCTTTCTATGGAGTTGGCCTGGCTGGGCAGGGAGGAAGGAAATCCACCCAGGGCCCAGCTCCCCCACCTGGGAAGGTCCCAGCTTGGAGGTTGAGACTAGGCCAGGGGGGTTCATTCATCCCCACCCATGTCAGTGACTCATGCCAGCCTAGCCATGCAGGGTGACTTCACAATTTATACATAGTCTGAACTCATATGCTCAGATTTTTTTTTTTTTTTATTAAGCTCAGTTGATCACTTACTTTGCCAAGCAATTCTCCCAGTGTGACATCTTCATGATTGAGAACCCATTTCTTATCCTACAGCAAGAAAAAAATAGCTGCTTAGTTTATGCAAGAGTACATTTCCCTTAAGACACATTTCAGCCAGTAGACATAGACCTAAAGGGATATTTCACTCAGACCATTCAATCAACAACATGCTAAGTTATAACCTCAAAAGGCAGTAAAAGCAGTTTTAAGAAACATTGCTACACAATAAGATACTGAAATCTATAAATCTATATTATAACAAATTTATATTGGAAGATTAAGCCTTCTGCATAATACTATACCTATAAATAGAACACAGTGTACATTTTTTCATAAAGCTCAGGGCATAATTTCTGCTATTGCTCATTTCAAAAACGAGTTTAGTCAAAATCAGAAAAGAAAACTTCATTTTACAATACAAACCCTACTGCTAATTCTGACTCGATCCAATAAAATATTTTTCCCCAGAACACTGGAATAAGAACCATTTTTCTACAGATGACCTGCCCTTGTGTTAGCAGTTGTTAAACCTATTGTGTGTAGTTTTATATCTTTCACAAATAATATCCTGTAGTATAATAAAACAAGAAACATCAATTATACTGTCAGTACAATACTGAAGACCAGTTATGGAACCATTCTATTAAAGAACATCATGTGTATTAAATGTGTTCAGCAACTTTCTGGCTGCACTAGGACTTATTCTCTCTCTAATATAAATATATTTTGTTAAAAGATTTTAAGAACTGTGTTTAAGTCTAATTATACAAATAGGCACAAGCATTTTTTTTCTATTTAAACCTCTAGATTCTTTCAGCACTTGATATTCCAGGCTTTCAAAAACACTATTGCCAATTATATATTATATTAAGATCATTATCTTACATAAATCTATAATTATTAAACAAAACAAAATCTAAAGCAATCTATTTTTATCCCTCTGTGAAAGAGTTTGTGACTTCTGTTTTACAAACATAATGGGCTGTGTTGAAGACCAACTGAAATTTTTGGATAGAGCACCCCCATCTTTATGTATGGTTACACACACACGCCCCCACACACCCCTCCTGATAGTCTGTTACACAGAACACTAATTCATGAATGACATTTGGTATTCCAGCTCATTACACTACTTTGCAACATAAAAAATGTGACCCTTTTTGTGAAAGGAGGAAAGATCCTACGTATTAAAGGAATCAGCACGAATTCATGCTCAAGAATAGTTAATTGTAAGATATAACCATAGCTTTGCTGACAACAATCGGTCTTCTCTAAAGGCAGGTGAAATATTTTGTATTCCATGCTATCTGTTCCCTCACTCATCTATTTTCACCTGGAGCTGCTGTCACTAACAACTGGCTGCTCTAAACAAATAGAAGGCTGAATAGGAGATAAGGGTACCCTATTCACTTTGGCTACAACCTTGGACAAGTGAAAAAAAAATTTCTACCTATTTCTAATTGCCAGAAGCAAATGTATGCTGGTGCAGGTATTACTCTAAAGTCTTGGTGTTTATGAAAAAGAAAAGGCTCCTACAGAAAGTGTCTGCTACAGAGATACAAAGAAGTAGTGTGACTGCTTTTACAAGCTATCCATTTTTTTGTGGTGAACATGTTTTGTGCTATTATTATTACCATGTGCTCATTTTTGCAGCACTCTTTAGAAAAACAGAAGTAAGATCAGTTTTTACATGAATAAAGCTATTTTGGTAAAACTTTTCATATTAAAGTGAATTTTTGACAATACATATACAGCTACTTTGGCAAACAATAAGAAATGCCATCCAAGTTTTACATAAACATGCATTCCCTATTTCCTCTCCTTCACCTCAAGATTTTCGTATCAGCAACTGCTAGAATACACTGAACAGCAACTGGGATAAATAATCAAGTAATAAACATGCAATGACAGTGAAAGGCAGTGAATGAGGAAATATCTTTGATTAGCTAGTACAGCATTTAAATACAGAAATTTCTTGAGAAGAGTAGGAAGTAGTGCGCGCTTTAGACAAGTGACATGGAGAAATATCTAAACATACATACAATGTGCTTTTGCTGTTATAATCATAATTATTTAATTTAGGGGACAAAATAAAAAGCATGAATCTCAGAACACAAGACCTAAATTCTCTTATGGGGCTACGACCTACAGATGCCCTGCAAAGGCTTACGGGGAGCTGGTGTCAACATTGCCTCTATGCTAGCACTGCTGAATGTTGAACCCTGGTGCACGTGTGGGAGAGAATAAATATTGCTTCCAACTATATTCTCATTCATATATAATGCCAATATAACAACAGCAATAATCATACACTGTCAAAAAAATGTATTAGTAATCCTCCAAATACCTTTCATGAAACATGAAAATCTCAGCACTTCTGTAGATTATCAAAATAACAAACAGAAAATGAAAATACAAAAAGATGGGGGAAAGAGACAGACTGAGTTAACACTGTAATTAGGCCACTTTTCACTGTGTCAGGTTTCAGGCCAAACCATTTAATACAAGGACAGAAGCAGTGAAGAGGACTGTCATGCAAGGGTCTTTGCATAGAAAAGATAATCCCTGAAGGACAGCTAATAAAATTAAAAACACCCAAGAAGGCTGAAACTGAATATTCATTCACTCCACCAATGCTTATTTTCTAAACCTACTTTGAAATATAATTCACAAGCAGATGCAAACTCTTAGTATATGAAAAGTCCTACTCCTTTTGATAGCGGAAAACAAAATCACAAATGATATGTTGGTAGTTCATGAGGGATAGGGACAGAAGTTACACAGGAACTGGTATAAGTGATCAGAAGCTGTTTTAAATCCGTTACAGAACAGAAGTTCAGTGCACAAAAAGGCTGAAACTCATTTAAGATAAACCTGGTCGAAAGTAGTATCAGACTTAACTGATTTGGAAAAAACTGGTTTATGAAACTTCTGTCCCAGCATGTTTGTAGACCTGAGCTGAGCTGAGCTGAGCTGAGCTGTGCTGTGCTGTGCTGTCTACTCCAGAGAGCCAGGCTGGCCCCAGCCCTCTGCTCCCTAGCTGGAGCAGTAAGTGCTGGCTCACTGGCCGGCTCACTGCCCCACCAGGTAAACCCTGGCTGGAGTCTGGGGCCAGGAAGGGGGGTTAAACTCACCTTCTCCTGAGTACAGAGCTGCCCTGCCGGTTTAATGCTGGCTGTGACTGGACTATAAATTCCAGAGACACCAGGAAGAGGAAGTGACGAGCAACCCTGCACAGTCCTGCTGCTCTGATTCTGGACTGCAAATCCCAGAGACCTCAGGGGCAGCAAGAAGAGTAAGCAAATACACAGCCCATGCTGCATTTATAGTTCCTCAGTTAATAGTTTTTCACAAAAAGAACTATTCTTGTTCACGCTTTTATGAATTCAATGCCACTACCTTCCCCACCCTCCACCTCCACCCCCGTCCAGACAGAGCATGGACTACGGCCTGGTCATTTGCACTCCACTCTAGCACTCTAACTGCAACAAGTATAGATCAATACTACTGCCTTCAAAACTAGTCATTATATAAGGTTTGTAAAAATATAAATATATGCAAGAGAAAAAACATAAATATATTTCTCAGTTACAGTAATACTCTACTCAATATGCTGACTGCGCCTTCAGGTAAAGGAAAAGGATGATTACTTTAGTTGAAATAAGAAACTCAGGAGTTTATGCTATGTTAGAAATACACAGGGAAATAGCTATTAAAAATTAAACATTAAAGAAAACAGCACTAAAAAATCCTCTCTGGATGAATCTACATGTATGCTTTATTGCATGGTAGTCTTAATTTACTGTACCATACAGTGTCACTATTTATATATGCATGGCAATTAAGCCAGTGTAGACTAATTTATTGTGCCATCCGATAGAACTTGTATCTGACAGGACTATCTGGGGGCACATGTAGATGGTGATGGGGATGGCTGCGGCACAAGGGTGCTTCAGTGTGGGGGGCTAGCCAGCAGGCTGCCCATGTGCTGAACACCCTCATGCCCCAGCCAGCCATTCCACAGCACATGGAGTCCCATCAGAGCAAGGCCTTAGCCAGCCCCTCTGCAGCACATAAAGCCCCACAGCCTTGGGGCTACACTTGCTGTGGAATGGCTAGCTGGGGTATGAGGATGCTTCAATGTAGGGGCTGCCTGCCGGCTAGCACCCCTGTGCCCCAGCCAGCCCCTCTGCAGCACATGGTGTCCAATCACAGCAGCTCTGTGCTAGCAGGTTGATCCCCTGGGTCCCCTGCCAACCTAGGCTGATCCCACTGAGGCTCATGTGCTACACTTGAATAAACTCCAGAGCTAATTAATCTGGAATATTTTGTTCCTAGAGATAAGTTCAAATGGTGCGCCCAGAAGCAAATACTCCAGAGTATTAATTGCATGTATAGACACCCTCTGTTGAGTTTACCTTCAGTCATTGACATTTTGGGGGGGAAATGTTGCTATCGTGGCAAAATAATAACTGAATTTAACGATCCTACCAGCTATCCCTGAACCTGTAATAAAATGTCAGTGGACATAGGCAGATTCCTTTAAGTCCTTGTATCAGCTCAGAATCCATTCCCTCCCTACTCGACACCGCCTCCTTCCCCTCCACGCTCAGCAGCACATCCCCTCCCCTCCCATTCCCCCACTTCTCTGCCCACCACTTTCCCCCCTATCCTTGGCTAATCTGGGGGTGGAAAGGACTCCAGAGCTGCTCCTAGACCACTGTAGTTGGGATGCACAGGGAACCAGGCTCAGCCAAGGATATCAGCAGCAGCAGGAGGTGGGTTCCATTTCCCTGAGCCAGTTCCCAGGCTGACATCTGGGGGAGTCAAGCAGGGAGGAGAACCTGCTTGCTGCCACCCCTGTCACTGTCCTGGGTTGATCCTGGCTCCTGGTGCTGACAGCCAGAGCAGAGCAGAAGCAGCTCTAGAGCACTCTCTTCTCCCAGCTGACCTGGAGGCAGCAGCAGGCAGAAAAAGGGTGGGGATGGGAAGGGAGGGCATGTGCTGCTGAGCACAGGGGGAAGCAGGTACAGAGAATCCGGTAAGAA